AATCTCGTCGGCCCAACAATTTCGAGGGTTCGTTGGCGCGGGCAAGAATAGATCAACAACCCGACGCCCGTGCCGCACCAACAGCCACGCGGAGTCCCTGCCACGAAGCATTGACTGATTTGTCCCACCCTTCTCCAACTTCCAGGCCCGCCATGCCGCGGCGTCCGGGCTCTGCTATGTGTTTTGCTCCTTTTGTGCTGTTTCATCCTCGCCCCTTCCATGTCCTTCGACCTCTATCTCCTGCACCTCTCCCCTCGTGTGCCTCCTCGTCCTCTCCCCCCCTTCCATGTCCTTCGACCTTTCTCTCCTGCACCTCTCCCCTCGTGTGCCTCCTCGTCCCCTCCCCCCCTTTGCACCCCACCTCCCTCGACAGGAAAAGCTCCTGGCACCGCCTCCTCCGCCGCGCCGCCCGCCGGGAGGACTCGCTCTTCAGCGAGCTGCACGGCCCCGCGCGCCTCCACGCTGCGCTGCCCGGCGCGCCTCCGCACCACGGAGGCCGCGGCGGCGGCCCGGCGCGCCCTCGTCGGGGACCCTTAACAACAAGAATCTAGGCCGCCTTCTTTGGAACTCCGGAAGTATACCCCACCTTCTTGCGACTCGGAGCGGTCGATTCTTCTCTTGTGGTTTTGCACATGTTCAGCCTCTGGGGGCCGCTTCTGCGCCTCCAGGGTCGCGGAGCGAGGGTCTGGTCGTCATCGTAGGAGCGGCTCTTGGTCGCTTGGATCGCACCCAACCCAGCTAAAAGTGGCGCCACCTTGTTGTTATAGACATGAAATAATAAAAGGGGCCACAGGATGGGCACCAAATCGTCTCCGTATTGGGATCCGCGGTACCATCGCCAGGCTGGCGCGAGGAGGCCCTGTTCCATGCCGCGTTTGCTTAAGAGAAGAATGTTGTAGAAGTCGATTCAGGGAGGAGCAATTGGAGAGAGGGGTGAGATGCGTGAGGCGGCAATAGACACAGAAGGAGAGAAAGAGAGAGAGAGAGCGATATATAAGGAAAGAGTAAGAGAGAGAGAGAGAGAGAGAGAGAGAAAGCAGAGAGAGAGAGAGACAGAGAGAGAGACAGAGAGAACAAAACAAAAACAGGGAGAGAGAGAGAGAGAGAGAGAGGATGAGGGAGAGAAAGACAGAGAGGGGGCGAGAGAGAGAGAGAGATAGAGAGAACGCAAACAAGCAAAACACGGAAAGGGGGAACCCGGGAGGAGGAAAAGGAGGAGGGAGGAGCAGAGAATCTCGGGGCATTTGGCAACAGCGATGCCGAGGCACGCCACTACATGTGCGCCAGAGGGGGGCCTCTGTCCGCCCGGGTACCGAGCCCACGAGGCGCCTACGAATCCCCCCCCAAGAAAGGAACCCCCAGAACGTGTCCAAAAGGACCCACCCCATGGGGGTGCTTCTATGCCTCCTAGATGGGGTCGGAGTAGATGGGGTCGAAGGATCGTGCCACGTCGCCGATGCATCGCCGATGCGGCTCGATGTGGGGCCCACTTTTCTCCACGCCGACGTCGCCGATGCATCGCCGACGTCGGCAGTGCATCGCCGATGCATCGGCGATGCATCACCGATGTATCGGCAATGCGGCGCGATCCTCCGACCCCATCTACTCCGACCCCATCTGGGAGGCCTCTAGTGTTTCGACACGCTCTGGCGCCTCTTTCGGGGCCGTACGGCCCTGGGTCACCAGCGGGCCGCTCACCGCGCCCCTTGGCTCAAGTTCGACACCGGATTCGCCGGTGTCGGCACCTGTGGCTATTTCCCCTGGTGCCAGGGGTGCGGGGCCGGCAAAAATATGTCTGCTGGCCCCAGCTGGCGGTCACCGTGGATTTTCGCCAACCCTGTAAAAAATGGGGCCAACAAAAAATCGGGGGCCTTGTTGGGCACCGCGCGGGGCGGAGCTGGCAAACATATGTGTGCCAGCTCCTCCCCGCCGGCACCATGCGGGGACGGGAACGATGGCCACGTCCAGGTCTCGTTCCTTTTCGGTTGACTAGGGGTCCGCAGGAGGCCATGTTTGGAGGACGGGATTGATCCCTTCGGCACGGCGGGGTTTGGCTTGGGTCTGCCGTGCCACGCGTGGTTTTTCGGACGTGCGTGCGAGGTAACGCTCTGGGAATTCCAGGGGGGCCCAGCGCTTCGGGGATTCAATGGGGCACACCGGGGCAAGTCGAAATTGCGGAAGGGTAAAAGATTGACCCTTCCAGCCTGGCCGATAAGGAGGTTAGGGGTAAAGCATGTAGATGGTACGGAGGCCCCATGCCTCCCCGCCCACGTCTTCGAAATATATGAGGCTTCGTTTCGTTTGTGCACGGCTGGCACGTAAGTGATCTACGCGATGCAAGCCCGTTCTAATTGTTCAATGCTTCAGGCGGTCCACTATCAGAAAAGTTAGTAGCTTTTCGCACATTCTACCCATGCACGTCCTACTTCTTCCCTCCATCATGGCCCGAGCCTTGGCGTTGGAATCTGAAGACCAACGCGCGCCTGGCAACTGTTGCTTGTCGACCGTTCGAATATTGCAGATACGCGGCGTCGCCGCACTACCCCGTAAGGTATGGATGGTCCGGGTGCGCCCCAAGTGGACATTGTGCGCCACAACGCCTTCAAGCCAAGACAGATCTGGGGACCGATACGATTCTCGAGCCTCGAACCCACACCTCCAGCGATTCGCAAAACCATCACCCATATGTTTGTCCTAAGTTTCGATCGTCGGGCTAAGCTTTCTGGCCCTGGGGCCTTCGAGAGACAAATTTGTTTGTCCGAAGGCAATGCCGGGCGTGATCGGGGGGGGCGTGGGCCAGCCGCGGCGCGATCCGCGCAGGCGTCGCCTGGGAATGTCTGGAGATGGCTGGCACCCAAACGGAACTGGCGCGAATTGCGACGTGACCCGAGGGGTGGAGGACCCAGCGTTTGCGAAAGAAGCGCCCGCCAGTGAAAGTGCTGCGAAGACCCACCCCGGACCCCGTAGCCCAATGTTGGCCGACGACCGCGCCGGAAGGGAGCGCGAAGTGCTGCGAAATGAACGCTCACTTTTGCGGGGGGCTGTTGCTGGCAACCTAAAACTATGGGGCGAGGGGGGGGGGGGCGCGCTGACGCTTTGTTGTCCGGATTCGAGACGGGCGTTGATTTCGCAACCCACGGACGGTCGGGTGGCGGGGCCCGTCACGGGCGTGATCGCGAAACATTGGGAGAGGGGCTCCAGCAGGCGACATGGGATGGGACATTTGGCCAGGACGGGCCCCACGAGGGTCCTCCTCCTCCTCCTCCTCCTCCTCCTCCTCCATTCCTTGTCCTTCTACATAGATTCTCCGTATGGCTCCCCGAGGCCTGTTGTTGGGGCGTGCCGGGCGTTTCGTTTGAGACTATTTCATGACTGATGGCCCTGAAGCTTAAAGAATGGCAGTAGCTTCTCAGATGGAGGGCGGGCCGTTTTCAAAATGTGGCTTTCGCCTTAGCTCCGCGCGCATTCGTTTTTGAACTTTGCAGAATGTTGATGGATTGAGGGCGGGTCGTTTTCAAAATGTGGCTCTCGTCTGAGCGCCACGCACACTCCTGTAAACAAATTCCAAGACATCCACGGATTGAGGGCGGCCCCTTTTCAAAACGTGGTTTTCGCTTGAGCGCCGCGCTTGAAAAATGCAAGAGTTCATCCCATGATCAGCGTTTTAGAAATTTCGTCCTGGAAGGATTCAGGACTATGAGGGTGCAAGAGTCACGTTGATTCGCGGCGTTGATGTCCCAGGAAAGGCTTTTTTCGGCACGATTCCGGATTGTCAAGACGCAACAATCAGGTTGATTTGCGGCGTTGGGATCCCGAGAACAATGTTTTGGCATGTTTCAGGGTCTTCGAACGGTTGTTTTCCGACGAGGCAGTTCCTTCTTTAGAAATGAACCGATGAAGGGACCTATGAAGAGGGAGTTTGGAGGGAGGGTTCATTCCATCATCGTTAATGACTCTTGGGCTTACACTGGTCATCCTCCTCCTCCTACCTCCTCCTCCTCCTTCTCCTCCCCCTCCTCCTCCGCCTCCTCCAATTCCTCCATCGTCCAGCTCCCGCCAAGGAGCACGGCTCGGGGATCCAGTTCTTGAGGTCTCTGCACCACGGCTGTGCGAAATCAATCGTGCACTCTCGTTATCATGCTCGTCTTTCGATCTTCTATGTCTCCCATTTCTGCAGCGTTTCCAAGAGCATCGTGAAGCTAGAGACGGAAGGACTCCAACGTCTCTTCCTCATCGACTCTTCTTCGATCTTGCTGACGTCGACTTGCGTGTGTAGGCGCGCAGTGTGCAGCCCACGAGCGCGGCGGCGATGTGTTGGGTTGCGGCTGTTAGCGTTGTATGCCGTTTGGCAATGGAACAATATGATGATACATTGGATACCGACGTGCAAATACTAGCTTGCACATCCTGGCCCAAATATCGTGGGAGCACTTCAGGGTCCTAACGATGTCGTTTCGAGCTTCCAGGCCAAAACAGAATTTCCGTGCCATCATGAATTCCAGCCCTCTCACGAATGCGTTCACCTCCCGTCTGCCCCTACCTCGTCTGCAGTACCGGATCCCGACCACGGACTCGCAAGCCCTGGAATGTGTCTTTCGCCTTCGCCGTGTTGGACAAAGAGTGCCTGCTGCTGTGCTCGTGGGTTGGCTCAGGATCCTGATGAATGGATGGCCCACGTCTCGGATGTTCAAGCAGGATCTTCGGCCGTGCAGTTTTGGGTGTGGGACCCCTGTTCGGGACCAGGTGTTTCACTATGTGTTTGCCCTTGTACAATGCAACTCGTTGCTGACCTCGCACCATGTCTTTCAAAGAATTGATTAGACCGCAATCCGTTTAGTTAAGTCATCCCTCACCTTACTATGGATGATAGCAGTACGGCTCAGTTGATCTTTACTGCCATTGCTTTAGATGTTTTTCTTAGTGCTTTCAATTCCTGCCGCGCTTCTGACAAAGGAGGTCCTGTGTACGCAAGGAAGGCCATACATGCTCGTGCTAGGGCAATGGCCCTGCGGCACGCTGGCGTGCGTGGCCTCTTTGCTGCTGCCGATCCTGCTCCAGGACCGGGCCCCCTCTCGGGTCGAGTCTGTCTACTCCTCCCTCGCCCCTCCTCCTCCCAGCTGTGCTCTGGCCCTCTATGGGTTCGAGGCTGCAGCAGCAGCAGCAGCAGCAGCAGCAGCAGCAGCAGATGTGAGCAGCGGAGAGCGGCGCCGCAGCCTCCGGAGGCGCCCCGCCGACGCCGCCGGGCGGGGCCACCGTGCGGCGGCCGGCGGGCGCCGGCGCGGAGGAGGAGCGCCGCCCGGCGTGGCCCCCTGCCGCAGGGCCCGGCGCTGGTTGCGGCGAGCCTGGCGCGGGCGTGGAGCAACCCGCCAAGCGGGAG